GTTATCAGTGTAATTAGTACCAAGACTTGACCATTGAGTCCATGGCACTTGAAATACCCTGTGCTCCCCTTGGGTGTTTTGCTTGACTCGCTTCCTGATGACTAACTCACGTTGTATGATAGTTTCTGCTGACTGTGTCCTATCTTCCCTTGCAAACTCTATATAAGATACCATGATTCTTAATAAAGTGGTTTGAAATAAAACATAGCTCTTACTTTTTCTAGGATATTAGACCAAACTGTGAACCCTGAAATTGCATTATTTATTGGACAAAACTTTCTGGTTGAGGTGTGGCTCAGCCCTAGTGCACACCTTTAATCCAAGAGCTTTCTGCTTGAATATTGTAAACAGGATTAAATAAAGCCAACCATAGGTCATGAAGTGGAGCAAGCAACAAGTTGACAGGATGTGAACAGAGGATTATTAAGGGAAAAAAAAACAGAAAGTAAGAGGGAGTCAGGAGGAGAGAGGGAGATATACACAGCAAGTAGGAAGGAGGGACGTTTGAGTTTGAGGAGATTTTTGAGCTAGTGTAGAGGAGGAGAGAAGGGCTGGGACACTGGCTGAGGAAGAAGGTCAGCTGGTTGCTCTCTCTGCCTGTCTAAGCCAGCAGGTTTTCACCTCAGCGTCTAACTCCAGAGTCTTTATCAATAAAACCAAACATTGAGATTTTTGATTAAAAAAAAACAAGCAAACAAAAGAATAAAACACAAACTTTCCTGTTTTCTTTACGTTCTGATCCCTTAGGAACCAGTCACTGATTTGGTTGGTCCAAGTCAGAATTTTTTTCAATGCATTGTAAACAATGCTTCTCCCATATGCATTAATTACTTTGGTATTGGTAAAACACAGATTCAACTGCAGCAATGGTGAGAAGGAATCTGGTGTGTTTGAAGCAAAAGCTTCAGTTATTGTGATGCTATGGATATAAAGGACATTCTTTATTGAGTGGTAAAGTTTCAAAAGAGCAGTATGTCAAGGATCTCTTGATTTGTTCTTCAACTGCCTGAGCAAATTTAGAAGACTCCAATTGAGGATAATTGTCTCAAATAGACAATGGCAACTTGTTACATTTTTTTTTAAAAAGCTACAATGACACTAAGCAAAAAAATGTGTGACTCTATGAAAAACATTTTAATTGACAAAGAAATATGTATGTTTAAAACCGTCAAAGTGGACTTAGATTTACTTCAGGAGTGCGGACAGATTAGATGTAAAAATTGAGAATACTATTTTGAATATTAAAATTGTGTAAATGTGCAAACACAAACAAACAAACAAAAAAATGTAATGCATAAAAATCAAGTCTAATTACATGATAAAGATACTCCTTTTATTTTGGGAGGTTAGAGAAATAAATCAAGGTGGGAGGAATCACTGTTTTCTTCAAAGCATAATGAAAAAAAAATGTTATCCCTTTGGTAATTTCAGTTAATTTATCTTAGTCTATATTTGCTAGTATAATATTTTGCTTTGCAAATTTTGTATCTTGTTCAAAATGTAGTATTGACTAATATTATAGTGAAAGTATATATGCAAATCTTACAGCATCTCACCCCTCAAAAAGCAGGAAAAATAATATCACTAAATAAAAAAAAATACAAATATGTACACTTACCAGACTATATATTTAATTTCAGTTTCACTTGAGTGGGAAAATAACCTACTTTACCCAACTGATTTCCACATTCTTGTCACATATTCTTAATGGAGACAAATAATGCTTCAAAAAGAGATCAAAACTACTTTCTTGGAAGATGATTAAATCAATGATTTTATAAACATCCTAACACTTATCATTGAAGTTGCACAGAACAAAAACAAAAACAAAAACAAAAAAAAGAAAAAAAGAAAGAAAGAAAAAAAAAAAGAGTACTCCTTTCTGAAGCAGCATCTTATCACCCCTGTGTATGCCTGGTTAGCTGGCCTGTGACTTCAAGGAATTTCCTGTGTCCCCCTCCCATCTCCCCACAGTGGTGCTAAGATTACAGTGTTTCCTATCATGTCACTGCATCTGGCTTTATGTTGGTTCTTGGTTTCAAACTCATGTCCTCATATTTGAATAGCAAGAACTCTTACCCAGTAAACCATTTCTATAGCCCAAGGTTTCTTTTAACTTCTTAGAGAAAAAAAATACATGTCATGCAGTTTGTCTAGAATAGTAAAGTAGATTAAAATTCATTCGGGAGTATGCTTCTTAGTTTAATACAGTATAATCTAAATCAACACAGCAGTGATCATAGAGAAGCTGGAGTCAGGCCTTGAGCACAGCTAGGAAGCATAAAATTGTCTTCAGATATATACTGGAGATAAACTACTTATGATGCAACAATATTTAAAAACAGAAAAGAAACGCCAAATCTTTCTGCAGTTAAAAAAGAAAGATGTTTCTCTTAGCAGCACAATATTTGATTTGGAGTCATACCCATTTCATTACCTACAATAGAAGCTTTTTACATCAGGATGAAAATAACAAAAGAATAAAAAGAAACTAAAACAAAAGTATAATCTCAATAATTTAATTTTTTTAAGTGAAAATAGATTTTTTCATACAATATATTCTAATCAGTTTCTTCTCCACTGACTCCTCCTGGGCCCTACTCATTTTCCTCACACACCCAAACACATAACCTTTCTTTCTCTGTCTCATTAGGAAACAGACATATAAAAACCATAAGCTAAAATAAAAAGGAAACTAATATAAGCCAATAAAATAATCAGAAAAAGAGCCAACGAAACAGTCTAAGAAACATGTGTAGACACAGAGATATACACATTTGGACATGCAGAAATACCATAGAAACACAAAATAAGAAACCATATTATATATGTAAATGACCTGTAAATGTAAAAAAAAGGGAGGCCAAGATAAAGCATTATGAAACAATAACAAAACCAACTCTCATTATGTCTTTATGGTGATATTTCAATTGTGTTGAAATGTGATTTTATTTGTGTGTTAATAAATAAAGTTTGCCTGGAAATCAGAGGTCATATCTAGCCAGGAACAGAAGTCAGGCAGTGGTAGCCCATACCCTTAATCCAAGCACATGGCAGGCAGAGTCTCTGTGTGGTCAAGGACACAGACAAGTGTGGTAACCCTTGAGTTTTTAATCCCAGTATCAACCATAGAGACCAGAAGTCTGCATAGACAGACAGTGATGAAGCAGTCATGTGGCTAGGCTTAGAGCCAATGAGAAGGCAGAACAGGAAAGCAATAAAAGTGCAGGTTAGGCAGGAAGGTCTCTCCTGTGGGAAACTACAGCTTGGTGGTAAGCTAAAGGGTAGTCAGTGGCTCTTTGCTGAATCTCTGATCTCTTTGGCTGTTACCCCTGTATTAGGCTTTCTATTTCTTATTTAATAAGACCATTTAGAAATTTGTCTACATTCCTTCACTAATAATGCAGCAATAATCACAAGATAGGCAATTCATATCCACTCAGATAGTGATCGTTCACTGTAGCTAGAGTTTTCCGCCTTGCCCACAGTCAGCACAAATCTTTGTCACCCGCCAGTCCCACAACCGCTCAGACCCAACCAAGTAAACACAGAGACTTATATAGCTTACAAACTGTATGGCCGTGGCAGGCTTCTTGCTAACTGTGCTTATAGCTTAAATTAATCCATTTCCATAAATCTATACCTTGCCACGTGGCTGGTGGCTTACCGGCATCTTCACATGCTGCTGGTCATGGCGGCGGCTGCAGTGTCTCTCCGCCTCAGCCTTCCGCTTCCCAGAATTCTCCTCTCTCCTTGTCCCACCTACTTCCTGCCTGGCCACTGGCCAACCAGTGTTTTATTTATTGACCAATCAGAGCAATTTGACATACAGACCATCCCACAGCAGTTCACTCCCACAACTTTTGTGTCGCTATCAAACAGAATATCTTGCAGTCAAGCGACTCTTATAGATTAAAGCATTTGTAGCGGGGCTGATGCTTACTTTTCTCCTTCGGTAGCATGCAGGGTCACTTCCAGGACCATGAACACAAGTCAGTAGGGGTGAAGGCTCTAGGTAGGCAGCAAGACAGTCTCTCCATGTTCAATGAGTTTTGTGAGTGTTATCTTCAACACTAGAGCCTTACCATCAGTTTGTGGAGAGTAAAAAAGCCTTGGCAATAGCATAAATGGTTTGGGAATTTCCATGGGGCCCTTTGGCCAGCAACTCAATTGCATGGAACCCATTCCTTGTGGGCGCCATGGGCCCTGGCCCCCGACTGTGAGTGGCTGCGGCCTTGCTTGCTGACCTTGATCAGATGTCCTCCCTATTCAGATTCCCTGCCGGTATCCACCCTTTTGAATGCTTAACGGAAGTTCCTTGTTTGTGTATCCTGCATATTGGGCGTTAACAACTTAGATACAAGAATGTAGAACATTGGGTCTGGAATGTAGACCATTGGTAGCGAACTTCTGCCCTCCGGGGGTTCCTCCATTTGTGCTGTAAGCCTGTATTTAAGGTTTCTTCCCTCTTTCAATAAAGGGCATTCGACATCCAATCATACGAATGACCCGCTGCCTCTTGTCTCTATTTTTTAATCCACAGCCCTTCGCTCAGACATGGTAAACGGGTATCGGTAATGCGGGCGTTACTGCTACATTCCTGACACTGGAAATTTTATTTGGTATCAAGAGATGTCTAGTTGTATTTTTTCATATATATATATGGAGGTGAGAAAGGGCCATTAGGTCCTTTGGAACTAAAATTATGGGTTGCTGTGAGCTATCATCTGGTTACTCAGAACTAAAAAGTGTCTTTTTGAAGAGCAAAAGAATACTCTTATGCATTGACCCACCTTTACAGGCCCATTCAACATTTTTTTTTTCCAAACGAAACAAAACAAAAATCCTTCCAATTTGCATGGTAACACACAAGATCTCAATTGACCAAAGCAATTTGTATGGTATTTCTGCATATTCTAATGTGTGTATCTCTGTGTCTACACATGTTTCTTATACTGTTTCCTTGGCTCTTTTTCTGATTATTTGAAAATATCGGTTGGTCCGAGGGTAGTGGTGTTTACAACTAATTGATCACAACCAGTTACAGATTTCTATGGCGGGCACTGGTGGAAGTGGGGCCCCTGCAGTGAGGACCTGGCCTGGGCCATGCAGACCCGGCTGACCATTCCTGTGCCTGTACCAGTCCGCCGCCTCCCTTGGGCCCCGATGGCTTCAGCCAAGGCTTCGCCCTGATGCATGCAGGACCCTCCTGAGGCCAAAGGTCCCAGAAGCTGAAGAAGGTCATAGTCAAGACCACTCCCCCCCCCAGTTGCAGGAACAGCTGGCCCGAGCCACTCTCCGAGAGCGCTACCTCCAAAGCCTCCTAGCCATGGTGGGGCACCCTGTGAGCTTCAGACTGCATGAAAGTGTGCATGTGACTGCCCAGTTCGGAGCCACAGGCCTGGATGTAGCCAACTTCTACGTGTCCCAGCTGCAGACTCCCATAGGCGTGCAGGCTGAAGCCCTGCTTCAATGTAGTGACATCATCTCCTATTCCTTCAAGCCATAAGACTATCTGCTGTCTCCCCTGTAGGTACTGCCATAGTAGCCCAGGCTGTCCCTGGGCTGCAGAGCTCTCCACACCTTCTTAGACTTCCGAGTCAAGCTCCAAGGAACTCTGGCTTTGAACTCGGAGAAACTCCAAACCAGAGACCACCCAGTGCTGTGTTCTGTCAACCCCAGCTCTTAAGAGGCTGGCTGGGGAGATGGTAAATTCAAGACTAGCCCATACGACAGTGGGAGACCACAACAGACATTCTAGATCTCATTTATTAAAAGGAATGTTCTACCTCATAAAACTGAACTTCACAGAAATAGGGCCCCCGAGGCTAGTCCCTGAAGGCTGGGGTGTGGAGGGGGGTTCCAAGACAAACAGCTGAGGTGGGCACTGAAGAGCTTGCAAAGTTGAGCCTCCTGCCCAAAAAACAATCGTCCAAGGAAATCTAGCTCTTCTTTCTTTCTTT